ATCATCATCATCTTCTATATCCTCGACACAATTACAGTCCTGATCGTCCGCCATGAGATGTAAACACCTGCCATTACAAATATAACACGTTATTAGTTGTAATATAAATTAATTTGTAAGGTAAAGTTATAGTCAAATATAAATTGCTGAATTATAATATAAATCAACATAGAAAATGGGCAAGTGTAGGTCGTTTTTATTCAATATTTCACATGTTTTAAAAGTTACTTCTTTCATTTAAAAGAAAATGTGAAAAATGGGCAAGTAAGTTAACACTTTCATTCATTTTCACCTAACCTGTGATTTAATCATACTCTTAACGCCTACAATTTCAAAATAACAAAAAATAGTACCTCAATCTAATATTCCTTCGTTGTGGTCTAATCGCATATAATTGGCTTGGTCGTCTACATCATTTGGTACAACAAGTCTAGGAATAGTGAAAGGTGCCGAGTCATCAAACACATCATATTCTTCCTCATCCTCGACATCTCCAATGCCTATGATTCTTCTTTTGCCGGCTAGCACAATAGACCATTTTGAATCGACTGGGTCAGTTACGTAAAACACTTACTTAGCTTGAGATGCAAGGATGAATGGTTCCGCACTATCATTCATGTGGCCAAGATATACAAGAGTAAAGTCATCATATCATATTTGACGCTACGCCTGATATTATCAACCCACTTACACTAGAAAAGAGCAACCGTGAAGTTACAATAATCAAGCTCCCGTATTTCTTGAATTCGACCATAGTATGACAACTCTGCATCAATGGGAGATTTATCCTTAGCACTAACAAACTCCCTTGACGATGCCACAAGCGTTACACCACTGTTTTGGGTCGAGGAAGATTTCAAATCCTGACGCTGAGTCCAAAAAGTGTACCCATTTATGTCATATCCCTCAAATGAGCGAACATCATCCCTAGGACCATAAGCAAGCCACCTTACTGTATCAATGACACTCTCATCCATTCTACCCATCACTCGATCATGAAAGCAACTTACAAACCTCTTATTATGCAACTGCATCAATGCCCTTTCACCTTTCGATGGAAATTCATCACGCAAACTAGCCATGTGCTCGTCTAAATATGGGTGAACATCTGCAACATGGTGCAATACATATAGGTGTGCTTGTAAGAACTTATCTCGGTCAGGTGACATTCATTTCGACCCGATTTTGCCATGACCATCAAATCTCCCTTCATGTCGAGAAGTAGGAAGATCAATAGGTTCAACAACGGCTTTATAGTCGGCCACAAAATTACCAATCTCCTCACCCACAGTCCCTTGAATCATACTTCCTCCCGGTTGAGCCCGATTCCTTACTTTACTTTGCAATGTACCCATATGTATTTCAAAAGGATAGCACCACCTCATGAACACTGGACCACACAACTTAATCTCATGCACCAAATGAAGAATCAGATGCACCATTATGTCAAAAAATGAGGGTGGAAAGTACATCTCAAATTTGCACAAAGTCACAACCTCATCCGCCTGCAAAGCATCAAGTGTACAAGGATCAAGCACTTTGCTGCATATTGTATTGAAAAACAAACAAAGGCTTGTAATAGCTTCCCTCAGATGCTTCGGTAAAATACCACGTATTGCAATTGGTAGGAATACTTGCATCATAACATGATAATCATGGGATTTCATACTTGTCAGCTTCAATTATCCATTTAAGGATACAAATCTTTTCATGTTAGATGCGTACCCTGATGGAAACTTAATGCCGTACAGACATGCATAAAACATCTGTTTTTCTACCCTTGACAATGTCTAGCAAGCCGGAGGTAAATAACCCTTTTCATCCTTGGCTTTTCCCACATCCGTGGCTTTTCCCTTTCCCTTGCTCTTTCCCTTTCCTTTTTTCGAACTCATTTAATTTTCCTTTTCCTGCTCCTTTCCCTTTCTAACCTTTTTCTGAGCCCACAATTCTGGACGAACCTCGATCTTTTTCAAATCAAACCGTGCACCCTTTCCGTCCTTTGTTTTTCCTTGAATATTCATAAGCGTTCCCACAAGAGCATCACACATATTCTTCTCTATATGCATTACATCAAGATAGTGCCTAACATCATGTTCTTTCCAGTACGGAAGCTACCAAAAGATTGATTCTTTTTTAAAGAGAGCAGTTGAGTCTGCAACTTTTTCTGTTTTCCCAAATACTGTTCGTATACCTTTAACTCGAGCATAAAACTCCTCATCAGTCAATGGCCTAGGCGCAGTCCCCTCTTCTGCTTTCTCATCGAAAGCCTTTTTCTGCCTACAGTACGGGTGATCGCGCCTGAGCAACCTTCGAGTCCGCACGTACACCTCTTTGTGAGAATGATCAAGGCGCATGCTTGGTGTGTCATCAATACAAATGGGGCATGCTTTTTTTCCTTTATTCTTGTACCCAGACAAGATGCCATATGCAGGAAAATCATTAACGGTCCACATAAGAGCTGCACGCAATGTGAACATCTCATTCTTATGAGCATCAAAAACGGAAACCCCTTCGTCCCTCATCTTTCTCAAATCGTCAACAAGTGGCATAAGATAAACATCTATGTCGTTTCCAGGTTGCCTTGGCCCCACTATTAGTAGTGAAAGCATTACATACTTACGTTTCATGCACAACCAAGGAGGCAAATTGTAGATCAATAAAAGTACCGGCCATGTGCTGTGTTGGGTACTAAGAGTGCCAAATGGATTCATCCCAAAAGTGCACAACCCTAGCCTTAAATTTCTGACTTCATCACCAAGATTTCCCAAACTTCATATCAATGGTCTTCCATTGCGGGGAGTTGGCTGGATGCTTCAGCATTCTGTTTTTCTTTCTTCCCTCTGCATGCCACCTCAAGTTTTTAGCGTCTTTTGGTGTTGAGAATAGACGCTTAAACCTTGGAATAATGGGAAGATACCACAACACCTTAGCAGGAGGTCCCTTCGTACCAGCATTGCAACTCATGCGCTTGTAGCGCGACTTCTTGCATCGTGGACACTCCTCCAATTGTTCATATTCATTTCGATAAAGAATAAAATCATTAGGACATGCATGTATCTTCTTATACTCCAAACCAAATGGACACATGAGCTTCTTTGCATAATAGTAAGACTTAGGAACTTCATTCCCGTCGGGCAACATCTCACTTAACGCGGTCAACAAAGAAGTAAAACTATTGTCCGTCCACCCATGCTTCGACTTAATGTTATATCACTACTACAAAATATGCCTTAGAGACTTGTTAAAATAGGAATAAGAGACCTCTTCTTTGGAGGTCTCTAGCTCACAGGTCTCTTTGGTTAAGAGACCTGGTCAATAGAACTAGTATCTTTGGTATTAAGAAGAGACCTAAGAAGTTAGACAACAGGTCTCTTTGTGCGTGATTATTTTATATTTTTCAGAAAGCAAAGAGACCTGTTACATGGCCAACAGGTCTCATAGTTGTTATTTAAGAGACCTGTTAGTAACGATAACAGGTCTCTTTGTTAAATTTTTTTTTAATTTTTTTTCCCAAAATCCAATTATATTTGTATTTGTTCCTGTACGGTATATGAGCTGTATTTGTTCCTGTGTGGCACCTGTAGGATATTTGTACCTATATTTTTCACCTGCTATATATATGCACATCATATACATTACTCCATAATTTTATAATATTCATGAAACATACAATAATAAACAAAAGTTGAGAAACACTTTTACAAATATCCATTAATTATAGTATAACCTCCAAAAATACTATACAGCAACATCTGCAAAAAAAAAAATCCAGTATTCCCCAAAAATATAAACCACTCATTTAATTTCCATGCAATCTAAGATAAGCTCCAAAAGTACTATACAAAAAATTCTAAAAATCGCAATACTTTTCCCAAAAGTAATGGACAAACTAAACTCGCGCAATGTCTATACAATCTTCATTTCCTTCATTAACATCATCTTGTTCAAGCTCTAGAACATACTTAGCCCACAAGTCTCTAATTTCGTCAATATTTTCAGTTGAATATGTACAGGGGTCCGCTTTAAAAAACTGCAAGATAAACAATAAATCGCCGTATCTAGTCATAACTCATTCATAATAATAATGGAAGATAATGCTATATTAAAAAAAAATAACACATACAAACAAATGAATATAATGATATGGGTTAAAATATGCAATGTCATGATTAAAATGAGCCATTTGGGGGTAAATTTTCCCTACAAAGCAGCAGCTGTACGAACATATTGAATTTCTTGATGAAAATGGTGAAAGTGTGAAACAGAAAATATTTTTTTAGTGGAAGCCTATCACATGCTCCTTTTATATGGACATGGGACATATGGTGAACTTCTGTCCTAAGAAAAAGGGTTGGAAGCATCCACTAAATCCATGGCTAGGAAAAGGTGGAGACCGGTGCACGCAACGTGCTAGCAAGAAAGTAGATGATCCTGGCAGGAAGTTTCAGCATCCTTCTGGGTTAGCTACTAGGGAGCAGGGCAAACCTAATGGTGTGCATGCTGGTGGGATTAATTCGAAGGGGGGGGATAGAAGACAGAACCAGAAAAGGGGTTGTTTAAGGCGGGCTGAAGATGTTGGTAGCTGCTGTAGCAGTGCTGAAGAGCTCCAACATGTTGATGACAATATTGTCCTGTATGGGAATGAAAGAGATGGAGTCTGCTGCTACTCTCTGTATGGGTAGCTATTTCAGCAGAATGTCCTGTTAGCAGCCTGTTTTAGGCTTGCTTACTGTGTGCTGTGATCTGGTGTTGGTAGGGTTGTTGGAGGCTTTTTCTTTGCTTCTGGTTTTTCAGTTTTCTGACAGTTTAGGCTCGTGGTGTGCCTAATTTGTTGTGGTTTCTGCTGTGTTTGGTTTTCAGTTTTTGATTTTCCTATATTCGAAATACATAGACAACAAGGTAATGATAAACCAAGTTATAGAAATAAAGATTCTGAACTATCTACATAAATTCACATCAAAAAGCAATGCATAAATCAGATTAAACATACCTTATCACATACCCACAATACCCTTTTCTGTATAATCTCAAGCATATAGCGACAAACATAGTATCCACAAACCTTGGAGTATTGAGGTTGTCGAGGACACTGTTAAAAAGACATTCAAATTTTAAATGCATGAAAATTTGGCATTATAACACAAGCATTTAAATAACACATTATTCTTTTAATATCAAGAGTATAAACTACAATGACATACCTTAGGTTGCTTCCACTCAATATATGGATCCTTTTTTATCTTCTTAATGTCCTTTCGATGGACCATGCTGAATTTTTTTAATCCCCTATAGAATTGTGACATTGTTTGACAAAAATAATGAAATGAATAATTAATAATAGAGCATATATAATACAAAAAACAGATATGTTGGATAATTACTCTAACACGTACTCATTTATGATCTTTTTAGCAAACTCATTGATCTCGTTTTCTTCCCCGGACGGATCTAACCAACACATTAGTCCATTCCAAGGACTAATAACAGCTAACCTCCAATGCATACTACACACAATGACAGTGATTATATTAGCAAAAATCAATGGTGAATATTGAATAGTAATTGTATAGAATAACCGATCAAATTTTTAAGAAGGCTCTAGGCAAAGCACAATTTGCTAAAAAAAAGTAGCTTCTGCTTTACATTAGGGCATCGGGAGTCTCTTTGTACCATATATAGATGATTGAAATTTAACACAAGATTTTGCCCTAAACTTTTCATGTGTTTCTAATAGCAACGGACTAACACTGAATATTCTATGACACTCGTACATCCCTTTTGAAATAAAGGAACTAGTATAAGGTAGGTATCTGAATGAAATTATGTTAGATCCTTAATCATGATAGGATTGGACAACATGACACCTATATCTAAACAGAGAGATAATTTCATAATGATGCCTGAAGATTTATGTATATGTTTGTATCATAGTCCCTAAACTCAGATAACGGTTTGCATTAGGCATTTAGGCTTGGTCAGAACTCGGAAGAACAATACAAGAAAACATAAAAAGCCTTGGTAAGAACTCAGAAGCCCGGATACAAAGCATGAGATTTATAATGAAATTTTTTTCTAAAAACTACATATTCCTGGATAAAAGTTAGGCAACAAACCAGAATTTAAACCAGTTAACACCTTATCAGCGGGAATGAGCATTGCAGTGACAGCATCTAAACATCAAGCTATACAGTTAATCATCATTGACCTTACTTGATACATTAATTATTTCCATCCTTTTTGCTTAGTTTTAAATCCATTAACGAGGTCAAGTAGTAAGTATATAATAGGAAAATAGTTCTGCAATTGACCTTTTAGCATTAAAGCATCATCAAACTACCCAAACAATGCCTGAATTTACCAAAAATCTTTAAAAAAATCTGATGACATCAGCTACTGTATACGGCCGATGAAAAGGTCAAAGAAGCAAAATAAACCAACCAATACTTGGATGCAAAGCCAGGCCATTGCCTTTGAGGAAAACGACGAACATACTCTAACTAACTACTACGTACACTTACTTGTCACTATAAGGAGCAAAGAAGAGTTTATTGACATTCTTTCCCTCGTTGCATCCAAAAACACGAGCTAGATAGTCGGATCGAACCTCCTCATATGTAGTTGGTGTCATTGGAGATAAAACATTTGTGTCACAGAATCCGTACATATCCGAGACACCTTCATTCTGACAATGACCTTTCAAGTACCTTGCCCCATCAAAAGTTGTATACGTTGAACTTAATACAAATATAAATTCAAGACTAAAGGGGTAATTGGTAAATAACACTCACTTTATGAAAATGTTCATTTGGGATTCTCCAACCTCTCTTTTAAAACACCAATCCAACAAGTCCTCGTAGTCAAGCGTCACACCCACATCTTCATTAAGAAACATGCATTTTGGTATTGGTATAGAGAGTGTCACACCCCTTTTTTTCAATACCATAGCACGAGTATTTAACATACGTAACCACGTGGAAGTCACCATCTCGCGATTCTTTTCGGTGGTAACGTACTTAGGAGTTGTGGATACTTGAGATGATGCTAAATGTGGAGATGGTGTTGTTACATTTAACACTTTTTCTGAGTGGGTAATGGTCTGTAGCGTGATGAATAAGAAACATTATAACATGAATATAGTATATATAAGGAAAATGCACTAGTGATTACTTGTATTATACAAGTCAATATACAAATGATGCATGTCTGCGTACAAATAACATCATCATATTAAATACACGAAACATGTGCTAATAACACATCTTTTCATTTTCACCATAAAATAAAGTAAACAAAAGTCTAGAATATTCGTGGCATGATGGTTAGTGCCTAAGTCATTGCTTGCTTTTGATGAATGAATTTAGAAAATAAATTTTTAAGTACTATATATGTTTTGACATTTCCTACTAGAAATCTGGATGGATTAAGCTGAAATTTTTTAAAGAATTTGCATACATAACAAAGTGCCCCGTTGATAACACATGCTGAATAATATTACACTGCAAACATGTACCAGTTATTAAATTTCATACCTTTCTCGGAAAAATTAAGGTAATCGGCCAAGGTGTGTAGCTATTCTTTGCATGACAAATATAGACTAGTTCGTCATTAGGACATGGCAAGAGAGCAGTTGGCACAATATCTTCTGTAATTGTGACTCGAGCATGACCAGGTGGCATTAATCTAGAATGAGTAGCTCTGACATCTGTTGTTTTCTCTACCTGTCCGTTAGCAACAATTTGCAACTCTTTGTTGTTTCCTTCGATTGCTAAACAACAATCACTCCACCCCTGAACATAAATACACCCATTTTTATCAAAAGGCAAAACTTACAGGACTATAACGTTTAAATTTTTGCAACTAATCACCATTTTATATATATCGAGTTCATTTCCTCTGTGTTGGTTTAAATAATTCAGTCATGAGGACTTATTAAAATGAGAAGGCATACCTCGGGAAATTCTTTTAAATCACAACTCTGATTCGCAAGGTTAGTTGTAGGCTCAAGTTGATTGTTACGATATGTTTCAAGCCAGGGAACATGATATGCCTCAGTCTCTAGGTTTTCAGTATGAGATTGCGTTTTTGTGCAATTATCTTCTTTCCTATTACCTTGTGTACCATAAATATCTGCCCCCCCTAATGAATCATGGGTAAACCCATGCCCTTTGCTCCCTTGCTCGAAAATTTTGCTTGTTAACAGTTGAGTTAGAGAGATACCTTGAAGCCCCTGACCAAAAGTATCATCCAATTGGGGAGCACGTGACCCACCTGCCAGACCACTAGACCCACTCTCCAAGCCACCAGACCCACCAGCCAGGCTAAGAGACCCACTAGCCTGGCCACCCTCTAGGCCACCAGACCCACCTGCCAGACCACCAGATCCACCCTCTAGGCCACCAAACCCACCTGTTAGGCTAACACCCAGGCCACTAGACCCACCACCTTAGCTAACAGACCCACCAGCTAAGCTACCTGTCAAGCCACTAAACCCACCTAACCCACCTGTCAGGCCACCAAACCCACGTAACCCACCTGTCAGGCCACCAAACCCAGCATCCAAACTACTAGAAGTATTATCGCCACCAAAAACTCCACCTAAACCAACCTGTTGACGTCCAACAGCCATGAAAGATTTTATTTGCTCTTGGCTGCAGCATGACATCAAGAAAGACATCATAAAATTTTGTCTATTATCCATGGAGACAAGTTTCATCATGCCTATTTCAGCATGCAATTGGCTGGGTGGAGCAGGTTTATTATAACCAAAATAATCCTTCACTGTAATGCCTGAACTAACACCTCTCACTGAACCACCATGCTCACTCTTATGCATTGCTTTTTCTAAGATATCATCTCGACCCTTAACAATGATTTCACCTCTTTGAACTTGACCCTCTAATGCTATCTGAAAAACATACAAAAGATCAAGTTTAATAAAAGTATTTGCAAAGATTATTATTATGAAAAGAAAAATTTTAAATGCTTGAAAAGTAAAACATTTAAAAAGATTAAATATACTATCTTACTATTGCATCATGGATTTCTTTATCAGCAAGATTGTCAAATGTTATAACTCCATCTTTGACAGAAAACTAATTTTGAATATTTAGTTAATATTATTAAAATTGTGAAAAATCAAAGTAAGTAAACATCATGTAATTAACACTTACAATCTCCTCTTCAAAATATTGGTACCCAAGTCTACCGCCACGATAACTTGAGGACTTCTTTTTTGCCTTTTCACGATTCTTTTCACTCAATTCCTACATATTTTTAAAGTTCAAAGTCAATTGATAAAACTGTTTACATGTGCATATAAATTCACATTATTGTTTAAATGATGCAATAAATCAAAGTATACCTTAAATTCATCAGAAGTGCAGATTTGAACAAAGGTATCCCAATTCGATTCACATATAAAAGGTGTAAGGAATGGTGTCCTTCCAACAAGTGTATTATTCCGATAGAGGGTTCAGAATTATCGGAAAGCTAATTCTTCAGTAAGGTCAACTGATCGGAATGCCTAGGTGGAGGCCGCTTTCGATCAGTAATATTAATGTACAATTAATATTACAGCTTGATCTTGCCTGAACCCTTCGGGTCGAACCCAATCGAACAACCGATCCGAGACGACGAATCAATCCGAATGGTTTGATGAGTCGTCGGAGTTTTACGAACAAAGACATCGGATATCGAGCTCGAGCGTCGAGACCGATCGTCGTAAGTCGAGTCGAATTTGGAATTTGACGAGACGAGAAAAATCAACAAGCGACAAGTATGAGCTAAGTCGTAGCCTCCCATTAGCCTAGCTATGCAAGTGCTAGGCTAGCCTAGGCCACGCACCCTACCGAGCTTGCTAGCAGCGCATGTATGCTAGCATCGCATGCTAGCAGGGCTGGCTAGCTAGCTGGTGTGGCAAGGCTAGCATCGTTGGCGCGCTAAGCGTGCTAGCATGCTAGTGCCTCGCACATAGCAGCCATGTCGTAGCATCGCAAGGCCAGCAACAGCACGTAAGTGCTGGGCCTCGCTAGCAGTGCGTAATGCGTGCTAATGTTGTGGGGCTATGCATGCTTGCGTGCTGGGCATCGCATAGCACTCGCATCACAGCCTCACACACCTCGCAGCGCCAGGCAGCACATCAGCACGCACCTAGCAGCATCATCGCACGCGCCTGCTGGCTGTGTGCTAGTTGGCTGCGTGCTGGCTGGCCAGGCAGTCCAGCCTTAGTGCTAGGCGCCAACTGGCAGCCTTGGCAGCCAAGGTGGGCTGCCAGCCAGCGAATGGGGTATGGTCATGCTTGGTTAAGGAGGGGACCAAAGGTAGTTGGTGCTTAGCTTGGGGAGCAAGGCAATGGTCCCCCTCCATTGGTGGTCCTCACCTAACCTCTCCTCACCATGTGACACTTGTTGATTATCTATTTCTTGTCATTTTATGATTGAAAT